ATATTGCAATTTAATTATAATGAAATTATTTTTTTCCGTATGAAAAAATAAGACAAGTCTGTACATTAATTCATAATTTATTATTCATGAGAAGGACCAATGAAATATTATTAATTGTTATATTAAGTTAAATAAAATTACAATAAATATTTGCAGTTTTAATATAATAAGTACTGTTACACTGTCATTGAAATCTTAACTTTCCTAATTAAATAAAAAAGCTTTTTTTTTTTTTTTAATCAAGCAGTAGGTACATGTATTTAGTTTATAATCTACCAATTATTGTATTGCATTTTAACCGTCAATACTTTATTAATTAATATTTCATCTGTAGGAAATGTACATAAAATACTCACTGAAGTAGATTGCAAGTTGATTTTCAATTGTTATAGGGTCATCAACATTATTTTCTTCAACATGCATATTAGAAGAAGGACGGCGTTTGTTTAAATCAATTGTTGGGTGTTTTAAACGCATGTGTCTCATCATGTTAGAAGTGGATGTTTGGTTGTGTTTCATTTCAAGACGACACAAACCACATTTTACATTTTTTTTTTTATCATCCAGTTTAAAATAGTTCCAAACAACACTAGTCTTACTAATTTTACAATTTCACATTTTTTTTCTATGCAGACTTCTAAAGAAGCTTAGAAAATACTTTATACAGTTTTAATTGAATTGAATGATTCAATTAAATATGTTTAATACATAATGATTATCAAATCATTTTGTGTTATGCAAATGTCTACTATAAGAACTATCATATAGGATGATAGTTATTTTTAGATTAATTTGTCCAGAACTCCTCAATAAGTAATAATTTTAATAATAAAACAAACAACTGTTATTTTCATCATATTTTTTATTTCAATACATGTAGTAGGTACATACATTATATTCAACTCATAAAATATTATTACATTAGGTACTAAGAGGTAGCATAATATTGTGTGCACATCATTTTGTAAATCTATAGTTCAATTTTAAATTATTTTAATCAACATGTATGTTGAATAATCACAATACTTTAAAACTACAATTTTCATAATTATTTGAAATATACGTTAATATGAGTCACGAGCGTCTGTGGTTTAAGTACTTATAGTATATGTCAATTTCAGTGTTAAAAATTAAAATGAAAATAAAAATAATAAAATAATTTCGACATTAAATATAACACAAATAGATGCCGCAATGTGTATTCCTATGGTCCCAAGCGTGACACTAATTTCTCAATGATAACGACTCGCGCCCAGTCCTGTAAGTGCATTATAGTATTGTACGTCCGTAATCCGTGGTCAGTTCACAAGTAAATCATGAATCAAAATAACAAAGGTGGTATTCATGAATTAAGAACTATGAAAAAAGAGTTGAGAGTTGATTTGATGATTTAGTTCATTTAAATGAACTGATTCACAGGAGCTGATTCATCGAAATGAGTTGAAATTCCCACCTCTACAAAATAAATATTTTTTTAAAACAATAATATGGTGTATCTTAATTTACTAACTCTATTCCAAATGAGATCAGCCTTGCGCGGCGACCAGTTTTCGTCCGGAGGAGGTTCTGGCTCCCCCACCTATACTCTGTTCAGCGAGAGAGCATGCCGCGGCCCGACGTAAATCGGTTCGTTCTGCGCATCCTCTCGCGTCACCCACCCATAGCATTCCCACTCTTCGACGAACACAGTAATCGAGTGTCGTCGTGCGTCGGTCGGGCTTCGGAGGTGGCGCCTCTAGCGAAAACAGCTGTGTGAGTGTGTACAAAACGCCGCCACCGACCCTGATAGCTCGTAGCTCGGTGACTCGTTTCTCAACCGTTGACCGTATCACGTGTTTATAGAAACGATTTTTAACAGCGCTTTATTTTGAATTTTTTGCAATGAGTGACACTGATGCGCCATCCACATCTAATGCTGGTTCTCCTCATACACCAGTTAAAAAGAATCCATGCGGGAAAGTAAGTGTTTATCGTTATTGATTGTACACATGGTTTGTATTGATAAAACAAAACGTGTCTTAAACTACAGACTTGGGTAAAATACTTTTTAAAAGTATTTCAAATACATTTTCCGAATACTTAAAATAAAGTATTCAGAGTATGTATTCGAATACTTTATGATAATAATATTCCTAAGTATTTGGAATACTTGACAAAAAGTATTCCAAATATTTTTTTAGTAGATTTAGATTTCAATATCAAAAATATTATTTTTTTTTAATTCTTTGTTTATAAATGAACATTATTATAATCTTGATAATACACGCCTATCTGGCTATCTATTAGTTATAAATGATATTCAAATTAATATAGTTAATAACTAATAAGTAATAATCAGTAATATATTAAGATTATACCTATATAAAAATAATAAGTATTCCGAATACTGTACTCCGAATACACGTAAAGAGTATTCAAAATACCGTATTGAATACTTTCAAAAAAAGTATTTAAAAAGTATTCCGAATACTGTTGTAATAAGCCTGGATGCTTGGTACCTACTATCGTAGTACTGACAGTAGATAAGTGGCAACCAAGTTATTATAATTGCAGGTCGCAGACACTTTATTTGATGTTGTAGTCGTGGTAGATAATGAATGAATAGACAGATGTAATATATTGTGAATTTTTATTATAATGTTCGATAATTTTCTAAGTCCAAATAATATTCTACAGAGTGGCGTGAAGGTGCTTGCACTAATGGGTAGTAGTACACGTCTGAATACAGGCCGATTCGGGCTCCCTTATATATGAGGTTCCCCGTACCCCTTGCCTACATATGCGATATCTCCGTTCTCACGGATGTCACTCGTATAGTCATCATTCTAGAACACGCATTGACGATTGAATATTTATCTGATTGAATGTATTACTAACTTGTGTTTAGTCATTTTACTCTTTAATATTTTAAATTCATCGTATGCGTCCAGTATTTCTGTCAAAAATGACGAATGACTATTTCAGCCCTCTCGTCATGAGTTATTCAGTGAGCCTGTCTCCATAGGTTTGAAGGACCCATTTCCTTCTTAATACCCGACTATGCCGGTCTACCGTTTATTATAATATTTATGCACCTGTGGAATCTGATTTTATTGTTAAAGTCAAATGTTACTACGCCTAATTCTGAATCCCAATTCATCGTATATTATAATAATAACTATGTACTTATGAAATTGGTATTACTCCGCAGTAGCTGGCTTACTACACTGTATTCGGAATACTACCCAAGTCTGCAGTTAAACATAACAACCTTGATTGTCTAATATACAAAATTAAAAATCAAACTGAATTATTTGTTTATTATTTTAATTTTAGTTCATTGGAAGTGGACAAAAACAAATGATAGTGAACTTATACAAACGCAAAATTGCCGAGCAACCATCTATTACGGTTAATGAAGTGGTGAAATTGCTATCCAGGGATACGGGTATTGGCCAGAATACGATACAAAGGACAATTGCCGGCTACAAGAATGCAAAACCATTACAATCGCCGAACAAAAAGAAGATCAGGCTGACATTCAAAGAAAAAGTCGACGATTTCGAACGGAATGCTATTGTTCTATATTACCTTTTTTTTCTACCCAAATCCGTATTGTATTCGAATGCGACGTTGCCATGTAACGAATGCGATTCCGCACGTTTATTCTTGTAACATGAGATTGATACATATTATCATATTATCATATTGATCATATTATTTAGGGACCTGAACTTTTCCATATTTACTACGACATTTCAAGTTCAAACTAATTGAAAATAAGATAAGTCGGGTCTTTTGATAAAGTCGATAAAGATAACAATATACATTAAATTACATGTGTTCTATACTTCTATATGTCAACCAGCGTTCAGCATAATTTACCGAGCATCCGAGTCTATATGATTTGATTAATATTTGTTATGCGACCTAACATTATAACGATAATCTCGTAATGACGAGATTATTTTGATAAATTACCCATAATATAGTTGTTGGTTGGTGTTGTCAGTATGGCGATGGTAAAGTATACTATAGTCTAGTCAGAACTGTCTGGTTAAAACGCAGCGCTTGTGTACGAATTTTTTACAGTGTTATAATTTATATTGATAGGCATGGATAATCAATTAGAGATAATAAAATCTGAAAAGGGCAACGATTTAGCGTTGGTAAATACATGTAAATATCGGCTCACTAGGTATAGATATTTACTAGAGATAACTATTTTTATTATATATTTTTTACAATAATTATTAAATTTTTTTTTATAATATTATTTATAATATTATTATACATTTTTTATAATAAACCGTTTGTAATAAATTTGACAACGTTGCAATCAATTCCTATTGTATTCCTATGAACAATAAAGTGTGCGGAATCGTGTTAAAAAAAAAAAAAAAACGTGCGGAATCGTATTCCTCCCAAAGAAACAACCTATACCATTTATTACGTGAGCTAAATTTTACGTATTGTAAAAGAGGCCGTAATAGCGCACTTATTGAACGGGACGACATTGTACTGTGGCGAACCAAATATATACAAGATATCCGAAAATATCGCCAAGAAGGAAGATCAATTTATTATTTAGATGAAACGTGGGCAAACATTGGTGATTGTATGGAAAAAATTGGGTTGACAAAACCGTTGAATCACGCAGAGACGCGTTTCTGTCTGGCCTTTCGACAGGTGCTCCCAACCCAACAGGCAAAGGAAAACGACTCATTATAGTCCATATTGGATCAGAACAAGGATTCGTCAATGGTGGTCTGCTGGTGTTCGAATCGAAAAAAGGATCAGCTGACTACCATGACGAAATGAACGGAGATTCATTTTTTGATTGGATAAAAGGTGTCATTCCATTGTTAAAAGACAACAGTGTCATAGTAATGGATAATGCACCTTATCATTCGGTGAAAGCCGAACGATGTCCAACAATGAGTTGGAAAAAAACAGATATAGAAAGTTGGCTGGAACAAAAGGGCGAGGTTTATGAAAAGCCACTTAACAAAGTTGGTCTAATGAACATTGTCAATCGGATTAAACCGCAGTTTAACAAATACGTCATAGACGAGTATGTTAAATCCAAAAATATGGTCGTATTACGTTTATCGCCGTATCATTGTGAACTGAATCCAATTGAGCTGGCATGGTCGTCTGTCAAAAGGTACATCAAAATGAATAATTCAACATTTAAGCTACCCGATGTCAAAAAGCTCGTTATTGAAGGTGTCAATGAATGCGGCCCCGAAAAATGGAAGAACTTCGTCAATCACGTAATTAACGAAGAAAAAAGATTCTGGGACATCGACTTTGTCGTGGAGGAAGTTATGGAAAATTTAGGTGATTGTGTGATGACAATAACCGGTGACACATCTTATTCAGATTCAGATTATTAAATATTAATATTTTTTTTTTTTTTGTTTATTTTATTATATATTTGACTGATTTTTTAACTAATTAATAAAATTGTTACTTTTACCATATATTTTGGATGTTATTTTTGTATTTTAATCATTAAAATACTATAATAATAATAAGAGTATATTAAAATAAATAAAGACGAAAATATTGACGAAATGCTGGCAGGCGGCAACAATCAACAGGTTGCGCGAGTCAGATGACCGGTGGCGTCGCTAGCATCGACGTCGCGGTCGGTCGCATATTATCGTTGCCACCGTCACGACAACCAGGCATCTTGGAAGGGGAAATAGGTTCTCAGCGAGCAGCCGTCCACCAGTCTACATGCGCAGAACCGGCATGCTCTCTCGCTGAACAGAGTATAGTAGTTGTTCGACTGCAGCTCTACCAGCGGCGGCGGCCGATTTTCGACGACGACGGTATGTGTGTGTAACGTGTTTACGTGTCTGCTTTATAACGCCTCGACGCCTTCGTGCTTGCCGCTGAATTACGCGCCGTCCGTTTAAACCGATTTGTTTATTTGTTTTGTGTTTACGAAATAATTTCGGGTGATATTTCTGAAATGGAAGGTTGTATGCCTCTGCAGCCTGAAGAAGATGTCACTACTTCTTCTCCAAAAACAAAAAATAAATGTGGAAAAGTGAGTAATAATGATTAATATAATATTCAAATATTTAATTATTTAATATTTGATATTTCAAATTGTATTACGTATATATTATTATTTATATGTTTTTTACAGTTTGTGTCCAGTCGTCAAAAAATAATGGTAGTCAATATTTATAAAGATATCATTTCTATTACACCAGACAAAAAATATATGGACATTATCAACCGTATTAGAGAGTTAATTGGTTTGGGACGTGACACAATAAGGAATACCATCAGCGAATATAAAACGACGAAAATAGTATCATCTCCTAACAGAAAAAGATTGAAGGCTTCACTGTTTGAAAAAATTCATGATCTGGATCGCACAGGATTACGTCGTCGGACAATTCATTCTATTTGGTTAAAACGTGAACCACCAACCTTACCTAGTTATTTGGACCCCTGAACAGTGAACAAGTACTTATAGCTGTAGTTGAAAAAGACACCAAATGGGCAATCAATTTGGAAATTCTAGAGCAGTTTTTTATTCAAAAGTATATACCCTACCTTACTGAAGGATAACCGTTGTTTTATTATTTTATAAGCTTTTATTAAGAATGCAGGTAGCAATTTTCTATAGAATTCTAGATTTTAAAACTAATTTAATAATTTTATGAACTATAAAAATTAAAAATGTAATAATGTACATTTTACAATATACTATAATATGATTATTATTTACAGTTTATATATTACCTTGAACTTCTTTAATTAAAGGAGGCTGTAGATTAGTTAATGCAGCAACTAATTGAAAAATACTTTCAGCTTGCTTCAACATAGTGAAAGGAATAAAATTTATTATGGAATAGCATTTTATTCTTTGTATTGCTCTTTCAATGTGGATCCGTGCCTTAGCTATAACTTCTGTTTGAACAACTTGATTTGGTGTAAACTGAGGAGTATCTAAAAATGGTGGAATATTTAAAGATACTCCGTGACGTAAAATGTCACTGATTAATAAAACCCTTATCTGCAACAATAAGATCTCCAAGGAACATTTTCTCTAAAATACCACTATTTAATGTTACCATCTTGTCTGATGTAGATCCAGGAAACAATGAACTGACAAATGTAACAACACCATTCGGGGAAATTCCTATTAGTGCTTTCCAGGTATTTCTGTGCTTATATGGACTATATGTGTCTCTCTGTATATTCATCGACTGACGTGATACAGCAGTAAATACTTCAGTGCAATCTAAGTAGAAGGAGGGTACGTTCACCCCCCCCCCCCCCCCCCCCTCAAATTTATTTTCAACATAATATCTGTTAAATATTACAAAATTTAAAACTTAGAATTATTACAAAAAATTAGGCATTACAAAAAATGTAAACTTATACTTTAAACATTACATAAAATACAAACAAAAGACAGTCAAGCAGCTTCAGCCATATATTTGCTTATTGTTATAGGAAAAAGTAATATACACAATAATTATTCCAATAGTTGTTGATTTACGAATTAGTTCTTATGACGTCATTTAGAATATTCTCGATCAAAAATAATGAGCATACCTGTGTTGTTAAAATAAAATACAGCCAATGAGAGCAGAGCATACTTATGAGTATGAGCATACTTATCATTTTTTACTATTCTAGAAACTTCCAGAGATATTTTAGGTAATAAATACAACCCACACAGTGGAATTTTTTGTCATTCAGCGTATGCCTATAACAGTTAACACACGTCCAAAATGTTCTACAACAATAATGAATTGATGTAAAAAATTCATGGACATTGAAAACTAGCAAATAAATAGCAAAGAAGCCAGTCAGCCATTAATTGTACATGATAATAATAATAATTTTCCCCCAGTGAATAAAATATGTAAAAGTATAAAAATATATAAGAATACAAGAAAAGTAATGGAAGTCTTTTTGAAACAGTTAAGTTGAGATGTTGAAATATTGAGTGTTGAGATGTTGTAATTGAGTTTTGAGACGTTGATAATTTTGGTATGAAGTTGTGTATTTGATTTTGAGATGATAGAATCTTGTGGATAACCACCTATTTCTGTCTAGTTTTCTGTACTAAGCATCAATTCACTTTTATTGTACAGAAAAGTTCGAGCGGTAATAGGTGTTTAATTTTGAGTTTTGGCATGTTAAGTTTTGAGATGATGATATATTAAGTTTTTAGATGATGGATATGGCTGGATCATTGTGAAAGACATCTGTCACTGTCTAGTTTTTCTATTTAAGCATCAATTCACTTTTATAATAGAAAAATTTGAGTAGTGATAGGTGCTTCATCTTGACCTTTGAGACGTTGAATTTTGTTGGATTTTCCATGAGAAAAGCAATATCTGTTACTCAAACTCAGAAAGAACATGATTAGTAATTTATTTAAATATATTTAATTTTATCGGAAAATGTTTTAGCGTTTCTTATCTAAACTTATCTAAAACTATCTTAAATTAATTAAAAATTATCTAAAATTATCTAAGTTTAAATATATAAATATGTAAATATAAATATTTACAAACGCGTCCCTTTATGAGATGTTTGAATCTATGTTTTGAGAAGTAAATATGTAATAAAATCATTACATATTATTTTAGTGCCATCTTGATCTGCGAGAGATACTTCAATACGATTAAAATCTGTTATATTCATATTTAGAGGAATAAATTTAATATCATTAGCTATATATTGGCCACTTTTATCACATTTAATAACACATAAAATATCACCGTTTGAGTGCAAATATTCCTTAGTTTTATGGTTAGAAATGGATTTTTCAATTATATTACAATGTACTTCAGTAAACTTATCTTCAAAATAATTACCGGTTATAATATCTGAACCATCATGTTTGTGGGTATACTTTTTACCAAGTCCTAGGCTTGATATTAAATTTTCATCCAATAAATAATAATCACTAGATTTAATTGTAATATAGTTATTTGTTTGTTCTATTTTTACACTTGATGGTAGTATTTTATTTAATTGATCAATAGTGTAATTTCTCTTTTCTATTAAAGTTGAGCCTTTTAATGTTATAATATCACCATTTACATTTTTTAGGAAACCTTGTGTGTAAAATTTAGGTATTAACGTACCTGTTTTACTATATTTAAATGGCTGTTCAATTTTATAATTTGAAGAATTATTAAATACTGGAATTCCTAAACAATCAGTTAAGTGAGAGTCAAAAACATACTCATAGTTAGTTGAAATCATTAAATATTTATTATTATTTATTGTAATTTTAGTATTAACAACGTTCTTGTTTAGATTTAATAGATTTTGAATTTAATTGATAGAATATACACCAATAGGTATCTTATGAGACTCTTTTTCGACTTTAAATTTCCTACCAAATTCTTTTATTATTATTTTAGGGACAAACGAAGAAACTTTATGACCACGTTCCGTACAACGTTAATAGTACAACAGCACTGCCACTCGGCCTTATATCTCGACGAAATTCCGCGGTGTATGCTTAACCATATAGATACGGCGAATAAAAATTTACTTCAACCGTATACGCCAGTGGAGCTGTTGGAACTCACTCGTACAATTAATCACTTCTCACACGACTTAACAAAAACATTAAGACCTCTACGCAAACCATTTTGTTCATATCTAAGGGAATTTTTGGAAACAACTGAACACCCAGTAGATATACTTGATTATATGCGACTTTAATTTTAAATTAAAAAAAAAAAAAAAGCATGTACTTTATTAGCATTTCAATAGCCATTTTCTTTTATAACTATGATAACTATTTAATTCTATTCGATTTTTCTATTAACTTTTCTTCGAATGAATACGTATTGTATAATAACGTCTTCATTTTGACATATTTATATATATATATATATATATCGTATATATGTGATGTCCAATACATATGTATATATATATGTTTTGTTTTTAGTGAACCACCTGAGTTCGCGGTCGTAGATTTTGATTTCACACAATTAGGAAAAGAAAATTTAATCTTAATATCTGGCGCCGTATATGGTCATTATGAACCATTAGTTACAAAATTCGAAGGACGCGCACTCAAACTCAGAACCAATGAACCAGTAACTACCAGAGAATGAAAAGCTATGTTACACCACCTTGGGAACATTTTAAAGGGAAAACCAAAAAAGCTATTCCCTATACTTGCGCAAATCTACGACTCCGACCATACTTCGCGTCCGAACTTAACTCGTACCACCATACAAACAATAATCAACAAGTATAATTCTATAATTCAGTGGGAAGGTTCTACTGACATTAAAATTCTGAACGCTCCCCACATACGTTGTCGAGCATTGACAATGCGTGGGTGGGACACAAACAACAACGGAAACTTCGATTTGCAACTAACGGA